TCTGAACTGGACTGTCGCGGTTCGGAGACATGAAAGAGAGAGAAAGCAGGAGCTGGCAGCAGCTTCGCCTCACAGCTAGCAACAAAGATGGCGGGAGGAGAGAGATTCTTTTCCCTTTCACCAAACTCGGAAGCTAATCGTGAAGGAACCAGAAATACTTTTTCTGACCCACTAACGATCATCAACACGTGAAAACTAAGATCTGAACACACACCTCTGAAAAAACTGCAGACCGAACCAGAGGACCGGTTACTTCAGAAGTCTACCGTGAGAATGAAGATCTTGTCATGAGATCACAACATCATCAGAGCCATTTCGAATCGAACCAATTCTAAATAAGAAAGAGTGAGTAAGTACAAACTCAACATAAGTCTTCTTCTTTATCAATTCTTCATTTTCAAAACACGGAGAGTTATTCAAAAAAGGATTACAAGAGTAGAATGAATGAATCATAACCAAAGAAGACAGTCCTTATAAACAGAAAACATTAAAGAAATGATACCAAGTAAAGTCATGAGCAAGCAAGCAAGCACCAAGAAATTACTATTTCAGCATCGCCCACATTAAATCTCGATATACAATAAATCCTTCGACCAAACAACGTAAACTACCCAAAANNAAAAAAAAAAAAAAACACGCATCACACGCGTGTTTTCACATCATCTGATTCATCAAAACAAACCGATTTCACACACTACACACCGCAAAATGATCGTTTACTGCATTCATACTCACTAATAGATTCTAATCAACTTCATCTTAAACATAAAGCTGATCAAAACACACAAACCATCAACCATTCCAAACAAGATTAACAAAAATCAAATCTTTTTTTTTTTCAAAAAACCAAAAACAAAAAGGAAAAGAACCGCAAAAACTCTCAATTAACTCACCAAATGTCCAGATCTGAAGAATCCCTTCTACCCTTCTCCCTATCAAACGCCCTGCGATTAACCGGCGGCCGGGACAACAAAACGGTGAGGTCTTTATAACGGCAAGATTTTGGGCACCCACTTAATCTTTCACCTCAAGCCACCAAAGGCCCAAAGCGGCGAAGACCCTTTCTCACTACACCCTTTCTTGCTCTGTGTGCTCACTCTCACCGTACTCTCTCTCTCTATATCTGCGCGTAAACTAGTGTTGTGTGTGTGTATATATAATAATGGCTTCTATTTTTTCTTTATTTCTTTCCTATGATTGCCTTGCCCTCTTTTCTTTAGACCGTCATGTTTCTAACCACAGTTGAGTTACCCCGTGAAGTGCAGTTAGGTTAAGCTAACCAGAGTTATATATAGCCTTGAATTGTAGAAGTCTCTAGAATAGAGGGTCTCAGGCCGTCCGATGAGAATTGCGGAACTTATCTGGGCCGTTTATTTGAATGCTGAGCTGGAGCTTATGGATTGGAAGATGACGTGTCACGAGCAGCGAATCCATAGGTTTTTTTTTCTTCTTTTCACTGCAATTTTTTCGTGCACATAGTTCCGGATTTGACCGTGGGAATTGGTGAATGGACGCAATTGCCCTCAAGTACTTACTAGGTTTGTAGGCCAAAAATCGAAGTAAATGACTATTTTACCATTAGTTAAAAAAAAAAAATCACCTTTTATTTATAAGCTTTCCTTTCTTAAATTTATACTAGTGTGGTACCAGTGGTGCACGGGCTAGTTTTATTAAGGTAAATCATGTTGGAAGAAACAACATGTAACTTATATATTATTAGACACCTTATTGCATAATATTATTTGTTTGGTTTGTTGGTACTTTGTTTATCACCACAAATTATATTAGGTTTCGCAGATAGGTTTAAATAAATCAATTAATTATTTTATAGAATATATATGATATTTTGTAAGTGTATGCAATCATTATTTATTTTGTAAGTGTATGCAATCAGTTTCAAATTTGTATTCTAGATGATTAAACAAACTCAAATTTTTAGGATGTTCCAATCCGATTTCATTTTGAATTGTAAATTAATATTATCTGACTTTGTTTAATATTTAAAAAAAATCGAACTAAAGAATGTAATAGCCACATGATAAGAGATTTTAAATTTTAAATTTTTAATTTGAATATGGGCTTGATTTCTATGTAATCCGATTTTTTTAATAAACATGATCTGTTGCAATTAGGTAAACATACATGTTATAGTATTTTGCCTAATTCGAAATTATTTAATTTTATGGTAAAACATATTTTTTTAATAAAAAAATGATAGAATTTTCACTTTACAAAATTGTCATGCTGAATTTTATATAATTTAACCCGATTTCTATGCAGTCTGATTTTTAATAAATAATTAATTTATTATAATTAGTAAAAAATGTATGTGATAGTATTTTGCCTAATTTGAAATTCCCAATTTATGGAAATCTATTTTTTTAATAATAATGAGAAAAAAAATTGACGTTTGCAAAATTGTAAGCATCAGTCGAAATTTACCTAGATTAAATCCACAAAACCCATGAATTTATGGTGCATATATAATTGATAAATTTTTTAGGAATAATTTAAATAAAATAAAAATTGTCAAAAATATAACGCAATAAATTATGTTTGACTTTTTTTTGTTACTATTTTTGGTAAATAAATTGTATCTTTATATACATATAGATGTCATTTCCTATAGATTTTATTGCACGACACCTGAACAAATATGATATTATTATAAACATGTGTTATGCATCTAATGAAATAAATACATAATTGAAAATTTTAATCTCACATCTTCTCATATGATGTTTGGAATTTGCTTGTGGATTCACATGCATTAGATGTTTCATGTTCATGTAATTTTTATATTGGAAAGTGAAGATTTTTTCTTAATTTGTAAAATAATTAGATTTATCCTCTTTAGACCAGATCAACATTTGGGATTTCTCAAAGTTAATAATGATAAGTAATCAAAAGGTATGTTTAAAAACAAGCGACACATATATGTAAATAGAACTCGGGCTCGGGCTCAGGCTCGAACCAAGCATGTATCATTAATGATCCACAAGTGCCAAATTTGCCTCAATCAATAAAATAATAACATTAAAATTCGATATAGTTTTTATAGTTAAACGTCCAACGTACATTTACACACTCACATCTCCAAACCCTAATAGTATGTTAAATGCATATGAACGATCGATGTTTTCCTTCCCATAAGAACTCATCTTGTAATAGCATTGTTAAGTAATGTATGTTCACCATATATTAATATAGGAAGATGATACGGTCGCGTTACTAAATTATTCCATCGGGGTTTGTATCCGTTAGATCAACTATCTCTGACGGTTACATGATAATCTAACTGTTACAAATCCTACGGATTGATTACGTAACAGGACCTTAACATTTTTCATTAATATAGGAATTATTTTTACAAAATATCAAAATTATTGGAGATTTGGAATGGATATACACCAAATGCTATTACCAAAAACTTGTATCTTTAAATAATATTTCCCATACTTTATAACGGTATTATATTGTTTGATACAAATTTAATTAAGGTACCTTTATAATGGTGTCATATTATTTGATACAAATTCAATTATTGTACCTTGGAAGTTCTTAAGAATGTTGGAGCAATTGAATATATTTTCAATTCCATTTAATCATCCACCAACGCAAAAATACACTATTCATTCATATAACTTATATAATTTAATAAAATTAAAATCAATTATTATTATTCATTTATATGCACAATTAATTATTCAACCACTCAAATATTTATAGCCATAATTGTTATTCTTGACTACTTTCCTATCATATCACAAATAATTATAACTATAACTATTTAAAAAATACCAAACTATGTATTAAATAAAAAAAAATTAAAAAACACTTGTCATGACATGAATACAATACTGACTTTTTGACCAGACGCATCGCGTGAGCATGGCGAAGAATACGTGGGTGGGTCTGCCTTGCGGGACCCATATTTGATGGGCCAAAAAAATGTGACATTGGTGGGCTGGGCCCCGGGTGTCTGATTTTCTTAATAATAATAAAAAAAAAAAGAAATAGTACTATTTTATTGGTCAAGGCCCAGTTTGGACTAGACTTTCACAATGAAATGATATGTATGACTTCCTGTCACATTTATTTTATTGTAATGTAGTAATTCATAATTTGAGATAATTATCTTCAGCCTTATCTCAATTTTGTTAAAGTTATTAATTAGTCACTGTCATATTAATGGCATAGATTAAGCTATAGCAACAGTGGAACAATTTGTTCCTATCTTGAGTTATTAGGTGGTCCTTTTAAATTATTATAATTATAATTTGGTCCAGCTCTAGTTTTTGGTGTTTATAGTTTGTATGTTTGTTCACTAGAAGTGTTAAATTAAATTTGATTACTTTATAAGAAAATGCAACCTGGAAATTAATTATTGCAAGTAACTGAGTAAGCAAGCACTTCAAAACATGATGTTGTCTTTACATAATCATATTGTCCTATAGAAAATAAATATTATGTTAAGTCATACATTTGTTCTTTTTAGTATTATAATGTATGACATTTAATTTAAATATATAAGTATGTAAATATGTTCAAAGAGTATCACTATCTAACCATTAGGTGTCCTAATTAACTAATGTAAGAATTGCATATTTCAAAATGTATTGTCCATCAAATAATTGTATGCTTTAATTAACCATGCAATTAATTTTAGTTTAATGGTACATAAAACTTAATATGGTCATACTCTTTAGTTCAAAAAATTAATATTCTTGTTTTGTAATCCATTTCAAAGTCAAGAAGTATACCATGTAGGGCATGAAGACAAATAACACAAGTTAAAAATTTTATAACTTACACATACACACACATATATATACACACACATATATATAATATATATATTACTAATTTTAATAAGTAGTAAGGTTGGTATACATTTTCAA